CCAAAGAGTGGGAGAACAATTAAAACTGCAGATATGTCATTTTTACAACTGCCCTACTTCTTCACACCAACTATCTTCACAACCTTCCCAACCTGGCACCCTCCATTAATGTTAAAATACAACTTCCATCATCCTTACTTAGCAGCTAATCTAGCACTTCTGGAGAGCACCAGGTTGGGGAAAGCAGCCTTAACCAAATTACACCTGATCCCAAAGAGGCCTGGAAACCGTCGTTTTGTCAAGGGAGCTGGGGTTGTCCAACCGTGTGCTCAGCACCCTCCAAAAACGGTGCTTCCAGGGCTCTCTATGGGAAGTCTCACCAGTGTCACTCACATATATCAGTGGAGAACTGTCTTCAGTGCTTGATTACATAAGAATGATGAGTGATTCCCAGGCTCCTTCTTGAGCAAAGTTCATCTCTAGGTTTTGCCCATTTCTGGAAGAGCACTTCAGTCAAGGTGCCAGTGCTACACAAGTAGGATCTCCATGTAGGGAAGAGCATGAATGTGCCCACACATGTCTTTTTTCCACACCGGAATTTCTCCTGTCTCAGAGCTGCAAAGTTTGAGGCAGCCCCATTTGCGTCCGTTGCTAACAGGGAAGTGCATCTGGAGGGGCTCATTTTAAAACCGAACAGTAGAACCGTTGTTAGGAGTAGCTATCTGGAAAGCTGTAAGGTGGGTTAGATATATTTTTAATAAATACTAAACTGGAAATTGTGCTTTTGCTCTGGCTGTTGCTCGGCCCTGTTGCAGTTGAAATTCTTTTTCAGAGGGTAAGGCCATTGGAAGACATATCCTCTTGGGGTGCTGTCAGTTTGTCCCCTAAGGGTTTTAATTTCTTCAACTAATGCCAACATTTACTGCTTTCATAAGCTTGCTAGTTTAAATGGCTCTTGGCATTTTTATCACCCAGATGTGATTGGAAGCAACCAATATGCATCCTCTCATAAAATTAATGGAACGTGAGTGTCGGCAGGTGTTGAAAACAAAGTGTTTCAGTGGCTGCCTGTGCCACCAGCTTTTGCGTGCGTCTGTTTCTACTTTCGTGTAGAACATTTTCTGCATTATTATGTGCCTCAGATTTAAAAAGAGAGAGAGGGGCAGGAAATAGTCTGATTTGACTGGGTGTTGGTAGCTGAGCACCATGTACACAGTAGGTTTGAGGGCAAATTTTAAATCCCCCTTCCCAATTTTTACATCTTCCCCCATTAACCTCACCATTGTCAAATGAGAGTAAAACAGCTGATTTTGCCCTATTTTCCTGCACATTTCATTTGTAGTATTTGGCCATCTCACTAAGTACCTCATCTCAGGACACATCCTGGAAGGGGAGCTGGCATCCTGTAGCAGGTGAGCAGTTTGGGGTCCTCCAGATGTCTTGTCCTGCAGCTCCCATCATCCTTAACTGTGGCCCATGCTGGTTGGGTAGAGAAGTGCTGTGAAGCAGGCCACAAGTCGTCTAGATCTGCTCTGCAGTCAGGCTACAGGGCTAGCCCGACTACTTGCCCACCTCAGGCAGCGGGTTTTGGGGAATGGGGCAGGAGGTGTTAAAGGAAAGGACTGTGCATGGCTTGCCCTTTGTCCCTATCTTAGCCCACTGCCCTTAGAAGCTGTACAGGATTTTGTCCCTTTCTCAGTGTGGATGTCAGGTTCAAGTGCCAGACTGTCTATGGAATGGGGGAAGGAGGGTCATTGCTGTCTTCAGACAGCAAGAAGACTTCAGGCTGGCTGTGGCCTTCCAGGTTCTTATTTCGGAGAAGGATGACCTGCTTCTGTGCAGGTAGGCCTATCCTGAGGCAAGGTAGGCATATTTTGAATGCTGGGAAGGATGGCAAGGGAGAGACAAGCAAATCTCACTCTGTAAGATGCCATCCTCTGCTTTACTGAACTGAGCAGGGGCTGGAAAAGAGCACTATTAAATTTAGTGGGGCTCAGGAAGGAGAACTTCCATCCTGGGCTTTAAGACTCCAAACCTGAAAGGTGCATGTCATGCCTTTTCATCAAGCCCCATGGAGAATATCCTGCTCTGGGTTCATGGACTAGTTAATGCAATTATCCAAGGCCATGTACCAAATTAATTTGGACTGAAGCTTTTTTCATACAATTACTCTGCTGCATTCATGGCAAGGTGCCTTTTGACTGGTGGTACTTGGAGCCATCTGTCCAGAGCCACCCAGGTTAGCAGCAGCCTCTGCTAACAAGCTGCCTTGGAAACAAATGTGGCCTTATTTGGCTATTGCACGGTACAGAAATTTCATAATTTCATGTGCCCAGACTGTGGATTAATGCAAGCCACAGGGCACACATTGACCAGCCTTGGCCTGGACTTACCTGAATTTGCAATAATTCAGTCTGTTATCATTCTGAGTCTCTCATTTAGACACTCTAGGCTGCGAATCTGTTCTCACAGTTTACCTAAACTGCTTTCAGTGATTTATTATACTCTTGGGGTGACCTTAGGTTGGTTGTTGGCAACCCTCTAAACAGGCTAGTGGATGAATTAATATGAAATTTGGGATCCCCATTATTTTTAAAAATTAACATAGAAACAGAGCAAGTCAGAAGGGGTCTCCTGGGCCATCTAGTCTGACCTCCGGCACCAGCCGGCTCCACTCACGACATGCCCACCATGTGGACGTCCAGCCTATCTTTGAACACCCTTACCAATGGGGCCTCAACCACCTCCTGGGGAAGCCCATTCCACACCCTCGGGGTCCTGACTGTCAGGAAGTGCTTCCTGGCATCCAAACGGAACCTTGGCTCCCTGAGCTTTGCTCTGTTGGAGCATGTCCTGCCTTCCTCTGCAGGGGAGAACAGGTCTCTACCCATCTCCATGTCGCATCCCCTCACATACCTGTATGTCGCCAACATATCCCCTCTGAGTCTCCTCTTCTCCAGGCTAAAGAGACCCAGTTCCCTCAGTCTCGCCTCATACAGCATCCCCTGCAAACCAGCCACCAACCTTGTGGCCCTACGCTGCACTGACTCCAACCTGGCTATATCCTTCCTGTAATGAGGGCCCAAAACTGAACACAATACTCCAGTTGTGGGCGCACCAGAGTCGTGTAGAGTGGTAGTAATACCTCTCTTGATCTAGAAGCCACACGTTAAGATACGTTCTTGCCAGCAGATGGGGTTTCTATTGTTATTAGGGCCATGCAATATCATAATTTATCACAAATAGTCAAACAGATATTTACTCTTATAATATCTGTGTTGGTCCAGATGGCCAGTCAGGTACACCTGATAAAGTCACAGTGTCCACTGGTGATAACTCCTTTACATTCTTGTTATTTATCCCACATAGCCAGTAGCTACACCACTCCCAAACCAGAAGGTTCTATTTTGGGCTATTTGGTTACACTGCCATTGACAGATCTGTCAGTCATGATGGATCATAAGTATAAATAGTTTTGGTGTGGGCATGATGGAATGCCCCGTGGTACTACAGCTGTGCCAACAATTGGGAGCTTTCTAGACACCCACCCAGAACCTCTTGTTTACCCAAACATTTCAATAGCTTGATTTAGAGAAGTCTTATGGCTGCTCTACTGTCATTAGAGTATTGGATTCCCAGCTCTGAACTCAGAAACGCTCTTTGAAGTTGGAAGTGGCGCTAGTCTGAACTATTCTTTTGAATGGATCGACTATACATGCTACTTCAGGTTTTTTCATACCTCAAAGTAAGCACATTTTGCTACTGTTAACCTTACCGATAATTCAAGATTGTTGTCATTATTAACAATGCTTTTCAGATAAGGTAATACAACTGTATTTCCATCATGAGGAGTGTGATACATCATCATATTCCTCCAGTTAAGTCAAGAATTTATTTCCAGCAGCTCTATGATAAAAGCCTGCATATTTTAGTTTGGCACTGTCAACAACACCTTGCACTGAATTGAAAATACATTATGCATCATGCCTGCTAAAAGTATACTTGTAAGAAAGTTTTCTTTCAAATTTGTAGGTACTAGCCAAAATGACAATTTTTTTTCTGGCTTAGTACACATCTCTTTCCCTCTTTTTCTAAAATAAATTGCTAAGTAGTCTAGATTTCACAAGAAGGAATAAAGAAGGAATAAAAGTCAGTCTTTCTACATTTCAGACTCTGATTAATTAGCAGATCAAGTTGGTCCATTTTGCATGATCACTGTGACCTGCTTGAGCTGCAGCCTTTACCAGTACATCCTGAGTGCCATTTGCTTAAATACTTGTTCAGGTATGGCTTTTTATATCATCCAAACCTATGCGGCAGGCCTCATCTGAGGGGGAACAACCCTCAAATAACCCATGGCCTGTTGTCACATGATTGTCCTCCCTCAACAGGCCATGGCATCCATGTTCGGATGACGTGGCAAGCTGCACCCAGACAGGTAAATAAGTAAATGGAACCTGGCTTACACTGCAGCAAAAGCAAGCCACCATTGCTTGGTAAAGCTGTGGTGATCATGTGAACCAGACCTGTACAGAGCAGTATTTTCTGGTAAAAACAAATAGAAAGTTTCTTTTTCAGAATAACTGGAAAATTGGTTTTACAAATCTATTTTAGCATCTTCCTCAAAAGCAATGATATGGCTGTCCTCCTTTAAACAAATACATATTAAGAGAGCAGAAACAGAGTGTGATTGATTTATATTAACTGTCAGCTCTTTCAGGAATGAAGTCCGAGTGTGGTGGTTTAGATCAAGAAGTTACACCAGAAAGGGGGCAAGTAGGAAAAGCTTTAAGGTAGCTGTAGCATTGTGGCTCTCCTTGCAACTCCCGTCAACCCCAACCAGCATAGCCCATGCTGACAGATGATGGGAGTTGTAGGCCAAAACATCTGGAGGACCACAAGTTGCCCAACCTGTTCTAAGTTAACCTGGTCTGGCTTCCTGTCACCCGTAACTACTAAATCTCCCCCTTTTGGCAATCTTTGACAAGCCAGTTGAATTAATTAAAAGTTGAACATGCCGATTTAATTTTTCCTGCTTTTCTTGTTATCTTTTTCCTCAGATGAGTAACAAAAGGTCCAATAGTTTTCGCCAAGCCATTTTGCAAGGGAACAGGAGGCTGTGCAGCAAGGCCCTGCTGGAGGAGACGGGACTGAGCCTTCCCCAGAGGCTGATACGGCATGTTGCGTATGAGACGCTGCCGCGAGAGATAGATCGGAAGTGGTACTACGACAGTTACACCTGCTGCCCCCCACCTTGGTTCATGATTGCCATCACCATTGTAGAGGCAAGTGTCTTAACGCAAGATGGTTCAGGTGGGGTGTCTTGGGCTGTTCTGCTACCAGGACTGGGGAGAGAAGCTTGCTTCTGGATATTCAGGTGTGGTGGCGTTGTGGAGCTCAGACGCATGGGGTTGAAATGCCAGGACTTTTTAATTATAAAATCTGGCGTGTGATGGAATGTTCTGGGTTTCTGGAATGCAACCTGTTTGCAAAAGACTTGAGATGCTCAGTATCACTCTGAGCAGTTTTGCATAAGACAATAACATGCTAATAAGTGCCCTAAGCTTTCCACTCACTATTTTTGCCATGAGTGGGTTGATGTATTGATTATATTTCTAATCCACCCAATATCTAATGTTCCCTGGGTGGATTATAAACCATTAAGAATGCCACAGAAGAGTTAAAAATATAAAATATGATTGTTGTTGTTGTTGTTAGTTGCGAAGTCGTGTCCAACCCATCGCGACCCCATGGACAACATTCCTCCAGACATTCCTGTCCTCCACCATCCCCCGGAGTCCACTTAAGCTCACGCCGACTGCTTCAGTGACTCCATCCAGCCACCTCATCCTCTGCCGTCCCCTTCTTCTTTTGCCATCTATTGTTCCCAGCATTAGGCTCTTCTCCAGGGAGTCCTTCCTTCTCATTAGGTGACCAGAGTATTTGAGTTTCATGTTCAGTATCTGGCCTTCTAAAGAGCAGTCAGGGTTGATCTCCTCTAGGACTGACCGGTTTGATCACCTTGCGGTCCAAGGGACTCGCAGGAGTCTCCTCCAGCACCACAATTCAAAGGCCTCAATCCTTTGGTGCTCAGCCTTCCTTATGGTTCAGCTTTCACAGCTATACCTTGCAACTGGGAAAACCATAGCCTTGACAATACGCACTTTTTTTGGCAGGGTGATGTCTCTGCTTTTTAGTATGCTGTCTAGATTTGCCATGGCTTTCCTCCCCAGGAGCAAGCATCTTTTAATTTCTTGGCTGCAGTCCCTGTTTGCGGTGATCTTGGAGCCCAGGAAAATAAAATCTGTCACTACCTCCATTTCTTCAACATCTATATGCCTGGAAGTGATAGGACTGGATGCCATGATCTTAGTTTTCTTAATGTTGAGTTTCAAGCCAACTTTTGCACTCTCCTCTTTCACCCGCATCAAGAGACTCCTTAGTTCCTCTTCACTTTCTGCCATGAGAGTGGTATCATCTGCATATCTGAGGTTGTTGATATTTCTCCAAGCAATCTTAATTCCAACTTGTGATTCATCTGTTGTCCCCTTCTTCTTTTGCCATCTATTGTGATTCATCTAGCCCCACCTTTTGTATGATGTGCTCTGCATGTAAGCTAAATAGGCAGGGTGACAGTATGCAGCCTTGCTGTACTCCTTTCCCAATTTTGAACCAATCATTAGTTCCATGTCCAGTTCTAACTGTTGCTTCTTGACCTGCGTACAGGTTTCTCAAGAGACAAATAAGATGGTTGGGTATTCCCGTCTCTTCAAGAACTTGCCACAATTTGTTGTGATCCACACAATCAAAGGCTTTAGCATAATTAGATGTTTTTCTGGAACTCCCTAGCTTTCTCCATGATCCAGCGTATGTTGGCAATTTGATCTCTAGTTCCTCTGCCTCTTTGAAATCCTGCCTGTACTTCTGGTAGTTCTCGGTCCACATACTGCTGGAGC